TCACCCTGTACTTGAAGTTTTATAGGTTGAATTTTCATACCTCCACTGCACTTAGCTCACATAGCTATCAAATCTTTAAGGAAGCATCAGAATTTTCTTTAGAAACTAAGAAAAAACAACTCCACTTTAAGCCTCTTCAAAGTCTTTGAAGCCAATAACGACAGTCCTTTTTCGCTAAGTAAAAATTCACAAGCTTTGTATGAAGAATTATCGTCTCTTATTAGTAATTCACAACAACCTCGTATGGGCAGTCTGTGTCCAGTAATCCCCAATATTGATACTTCAATGGGTCGTACCACAACGTTTGGATCTAAAGATTTCAGGTTCTTGAATGAAATAATGGACTCTATACTGCCTGTGTCTACAATAATGTCGTGAAATGAATCGAAGGATATATGGCTGCAATTAAACGCAACTCAATTTCGTAAATGTGCCCTTCAGCTTAGCAACCAATCAGAATGAGGCGGGAATTATTACATCTGCCATCTTCGTAAGCAATGGCGGTCGGCTTTCTTCGTTCTGTGCTTCTTTCAGCTATTTCTTTTGTGTAGCTGTGTAATTTAATGTCTCAGTGTGCTAAAATGCCGCAGTTAGTGTAATGTTCTATATGTTGGTGTGAAGTTTATTTAGAATCAGCGATATTTTCTGGGTTTTTGCTGCTTCTACTCAAGTCAATGTATTTCTTCAGGCAATCTGGCTAGTCTTGTGTTATAAAATGTCGGCCGGCTTTCTTCGTTCTGTGTTTTTTCCGCTATTTCTTTTGTGTAGCTACAGAATTTAATGTTTCAGTGTGCTAAAATCCAAAAGTTAATGTAATACTCTAAACGTTGGAGCAAAAATTTTCCTGATTTCGCTTTGTTTTCTGGGTTTTACCTGCTGCTACTGAAGTCACTGTATTTATTCAGCTAAGCTGGCTAGTGCTAACATAAGACCTTACGTTGTTAAACGACAATCGGTTATGTTTTACCTTGTTTTCTAGATATCCAAAGCCGAAGTTCGTTTTGATTTAGCTATAATAATTGTTGCTGCCGCCTGTGACTCTAACTGTTCGCATGTTCGTTCCTAACTGTCCTTTATGATGTTATCGGCAAAACGAAAGGAAACAATCTGCGTTTTTTAAATTTTCTTCAGTATTATGGACAACACTATCTCACCGAGTCAAACTAATACAGAGTGCCAAGGAGTAGGGTATATCGGTATTGATTTCGAAAGGACCCAGACTTCCGACAACTATAGATGAAGTCACAGATGCTACCAATCTATTGCAGAGGGTTTGTTATGAAAAATATACCATATAGCAGTAATAGAGGGATTGTACTCATTACTCAGTGCGATAAAGCAAGCTTAACATTGAAAAGCCGGAAATCTGCTACTAGTGTATGTTTGCTGTTTTGGCCATAAAAAGAAGCCGAAGGGTCATGATCAGGGAGTAAAAAGGTAATTAACTGTTATTAAGCTCACTTTTTTATAGATTATATTTCACCACTCGTAAATTTGTGTTTTTTTACGGTATGATGTCAACTGGTACCTAATGTGTTCACCCTCACGATGAAAAGTACCTGCAAATTTTCACCTCCATATTCTAATTATTTTTGGACAACTGTCTTACAGTCTGAGTGCTTCGTACGCCCCGAGAAACTCTATTTCTACAACATTCGTAGTTCCAGTATAACTTTCCCACGCAGTAAGTTCAAATTAGACACTAGTCTTTCTAAATAAGCCTGTTAAGCTAATATCCGTATTCTCTATTTCAGTTAATCGATAAAGACATGTATCACGTGCATCTGCTGTATACTGCCATTTTACTCCAATTCTAACTGTTATATCTTACTTTTGAATAATAAAATTGCTATATGCAGCAAATACAGACTTATTTGTTTTGATGAAGGTAAAGGGGTTCATGGGATTTTTAGCAGGACCGTATTAATATTCTCACTAAAGAGCTAAGCGAGTGCGTAAACCAGTGTAAGGTACCATACGGGGTGCATTTTAGTTACTAGTGTTCCATTAGTGCGGGTAGGGGCATTGCTTGCTTGTCATTTGAATTAGAAGCTATAAGATAAGACGCAGGTACGGTTGGGATGTGTAACGCGTGTCCATCCATCAGCTGCCGTGACAACCCATGGTGGTTAGAATAAGTTATGAGAGGACCCGAGTATGTAAGTCTCGCAAGAAAATGACGAAGATATGCACCAAATCACCTTATGAAAAGCGCCTCCAATCACTTAACCTCCACTCATTAGAGTATAGACGTCTTAGAGGTGACCTAATGGTCAGCTACTATTACTTGCGCAAAGCATAACATGGGTTTAGTACCGTATTGCAATGTTTTTATTATTTTGCTCCCATTTAAGTATTCCCATGCATCTGTGTCTAGTTTAACAGGACAACATACAAGCAGAGTAAGTGTCTGATAAACTAAAAGTCCCAGTTGTCAAAAAGATTCTTAACATTTGTCCACAGACAGCTGCATTTAATTGAGACACAGAACACTCATCTTCTAAGACTGTATACTGCTGTTTTGCGGGCAACTAAAAGCTCAGACACTTAGCTATCTTGCTACCGATGTTATTGCTGAGGAAATTGTTAAGTGATAGTTATCATGAAATATTGTCAGTGATAGATGTACAGTTTAGAAATAAACACCAAACATACTTATCGCTATCTTATAATGTATGACAGCAACAACATCAAAGGCACGTTTTTTCCTATCTTTAATCAGACTGATCTGAATCCGTATACACATTAAAAACAGGCAACTCTACTTACTAAACTGATCTGTTTCGTTACAGGCTTCAAGCACTATACTTAAGTATATCATAATTCTTTCAACTAAACTGAATTATACGACAACCACGAACACTAAACTAAGCAATTGTCATAGTTATTGTTTCACTTGCAAAGACATGTTGCTCAAAGAAATTAAATGGACATAATTAAGCCGACAAAACCAAAACACGAAATATAGGCCAGTTGAACTTACCTAAGAAAAAAAGAAGGATACATATATACTGCTTTAAAGCAGTATTCAGTATAAATTCATACTGAAGACAACAGGGAGTTGATCATAGAAACAGTTTACAGTACAACAAACCTTTCTTCAGTAAAATCATAAACGGACAGTCTATCTGGAAACAATCAACTATGTGAATAAACTCACTATGACTTGAGATATCATCTCAGCGTGCAATGGACGTACAGTGTAACGCAGTCGGACGTGGCGAATAAAAATTAAAAACAGAGAAAAATTAACTACGTAATCTAGTTATTTAATTAAAATTACATTATGAAATGACAAAATCTGTGGTTACTTGAACGCACAAATGATAGTGTGCGATACATTAAGTTTACATGGTTGCGTTGCGATAAGATCACCCAAGATATATATAATCCCTTCTGAATATGAACATTACATTTCGAAATGGTGGACAGAGACAAGTGATCATTAGGAATAGCCGAGTTATTGGGATTTAAATTATAAGATTTAGTATGACTTGAAGAAAAATGAACGGTAGTTTTGCATACCGACTGAATGTGTCCTATCTTATCACATCTAAAACATTTAGCATTAAGAAGTGCATATGAATTACGAGAATGAAATTTGCCAAAGGATTTTAGTGACTCACTTTTATCACGAGAATACGACTGGTTTAATGAGAACAATTATTATTATAACCAACTGTACCAGTGCTTGGTTTAATGTGCTCTTTGTTTAACTGTGCTAATGACAGCTATATTGTGCTTCCATTCTTATTCTCACACTTTGATTGTGACCTCGTGCGAGTTCGGTTACGCTCAGTAACCAAGCTTGTATCCTGGCACGATCTCGGTATTATTTCGATACCACGAGATCGCCAGCAAATATATATCGACTTGGTCCATTAACTGCCTTCTGATATTTGGCTTCCGGGGGATTTTATGGATATCCTGATACACGTTCCTTGGTAGCAGTGTTCAAAGTCAACCGCGACTCGACACCACGCTACAGGATAAACATTTACTAAAGTTGATCTCGTTTCTGTGGTTTGGTCTATAATTCCTTCTTGAGATACCTTTCATATGTATACGAGAATAGGAATCACTATTAAACGAACGCAAGTTTGATTGACCCTGAGGTTGTATTTCATCATGACGACTAAGCAAAACAATAGAATTTTTCATCGACTGGATATCAAGTTCATTCACTGCCTCGTAGTTAATACACGCAGTTCTACCATTTTGAAAAGAACAGTTCGGTATTCTTAACAGCTCTCTTTCCAAACCCAATGTGTTAATTCCTACAATTAATCGATCTCTCAGTTGCACATGAAGTCGATCACCGAAATAACATTTGGCAGCCTGTTTCTGCAATTCAAGGATGAGTTCCTTAACTTTTTGGTCGTTCTCTCGAATCATCTTATGAAATTTCGATTTTTCACGGCATTCAAAACTGGTGCACTTTACATGACTAAATATTAGTTCCTTAAGAGTTGCATAAGGAAGTGAGATAGGCGTTTTTGGTTATGCTAAAGTCTTTAATAAGCTGTATGCTTCCTTTCCGACGAATGTCGAGAAATATTCCACAATTTTATCACTCTCAACATCTTTCTCGGTCATGCTCCAGATTTCAAACGTTTCTAAATAATTTTCAAAAGCTTCAGAAGTTGAATGAATATCTAACTGTTCCATTGCAGACTCCATCGCGACGCCAATATGATAATTTGGAGTATTTGAATTATAGCAAAAACTAAGAATCTTAGAAATAATGCAATGTAACCAGGAAGTGCTAGATAAGCACGAACGAATGTACTGTTTTTGGAATTCGAAAGCAAGCATTCAGCAAGTACCACGGAATCGTTAGTTCATGAAAACACCTCAAATTTTAATGGTGTTTGTTCTTTTCAAGGCATATTGCCAGCCATCAAGATTTGGCTGATTGTGCTTTTTTTGTAACCTAAGTAGCTAATGATACTTTAGAGGAAGTTGTTTGACCACGCCTGTTCTATTATTATCTGACAGTGGGCGCATTTTTGACATTTTTGGTACATGTTGTGAATTATTCACGTGTGTCCGTAGTTTCATCTGTTTGTAAGTTGGAAGTTATACGTTCGGATTCACAACGGTAGGGTTGGGTGGTGTATGTTTTAAAATTTGTGTGTAGACATATCAAGTGATCATAATTTAAGACTGAAATTTTCTTATCATATCTGTCCACTTGATACCCACTCCCTGAATCACGACATCCAATTATCACAATTCGAATTATAGTAGTCCAGTCAACACTTTCAGTGAACTTTTTAACGCGGATAACTGTTGGTAATAAGTTGTGGGTAATACTTTTTCCTTTGCCTGTTCAGCTATTACACCTGAACGTATTCCTTTGTTCATTAGATCTACTCGGCCTTATTCCCATAGATCCTGAAACTAATTAGTCGACCTTTCAAGAAAGCCTACCTTAGAAGGGTTAAAAATCACTGTAAGGGATTACGATTAGTATTTGGTTAGGAACTAGGTATTTTATTAGGAATTTATATGATCTGTAATGGCAGAATGCTATTTTACATATGGATAAATGGATGACGCATCAAAACTATGGAATTGCTGTTTTTGATTTTATTGGTTTTCCCATAAATTGTATTCTCAATTTATCAAAAATAATGAGCCAATAACTAGTTCCCATAAGTTATTCTGTGTCATCTATCTTAGCCATTTTGTAGGATGAAGCCGATAATTGATTCTGAATCGGTAAAGTTGAACAAAAAAAGCAGCCCTCAGAATATCAAGCAAAAACTTTTCAGACAAGATGGTACGAACAAAAGTGACATAAAAGTATATATGCGTATGCATTCAAAGAAGAAACGGCAAAAGTACATTAAATCTACAGTCGAGGATAAAACGACTGAATCTTAACAAAATACTCTTTTGACATCTGATCTCAAGGTGGACAGTCAGTCAGAGGAATCTGATCGCTTAAGATCAAAGAAGAAAACTCGGAGGGAGAAAAATAAAAATGTAACAGAGCGTTTGCCCGAACATCCTGATTCTATTATGAGCAGTAAAGGTACGGATTACGTAAGATAAATATAATATATAGTTGATAAACTTAAGAAACACCTGTTAAGCCAAATACATTAAAACATTTGTTTAGGAAGGTGTAAGGTTCGGAACACTTATGATCAAATTATCGTGATCATTCTGATGGGACTTAGTCCTCTGAGCTTCCTAACCACCAGTCCAAGCTAAAAGTCTCCACAATCGCATTCTTATCATTTATGAAGTTGGAGTTACAGTTGTTTTCAAGACAAAATTAGATTTTAAGGTTGGTGATAAAAATAGTGAAATATCTAACTAAAGTTCTTCGCATTCGTTTTCTCTCATTGTTACAAATCTAGAAATTCATGATTTCATGTACTGGCATGTAGTTTTAAATGGAAAAGTGAATAATCATCTGGTGTATCCGGTTAATGACGTTGCCTCTGGGAAAGGATTTCCAAGTCGTCAGTGCTATTATTACTAGAAATGTGTTCATACATTACTTGGCAAAGTAATACGTGGAGGTTATTTGACAGTTAATTGCTTTTCCCCTTATAGCAACTCATATGTTCCGAAACTTAATGTAATGAATGCATTTTCAAGGTGGTATAAGGTTTGATCGGTAATTATATTTGGCATCATATGTCCAAGTTCAGTTAATATTATTTTACTTGACGTCTTACTAAATATATATCAAGATAAATCACATTATGCTATTTTAAACATAATTATTGATCGCTCTCACAGACCATTGTAGCGTAAGCAGTCAGAATTGTCTATCTCTACTCATCACCAACCTACCCAAACATATAAATTATTCAATGCTCAAAGATGCCATACCATCGGCTGCACGCTTGCATTTGTTCAGGAAATCTGGAAAGCGTTTAGCGTTTGCCAATTTCTATACCATGGATGACTATTCAAATGCCATTAATCGTTTGGAGGGACTTGAGTTTGACGGGGTCAAGGTAAGATAATATCAGCCGAATTCCGGTTAGCAATAAATGTTTCTTAAGAGTTTTAGACTAAGTTACTTAGTTTCTAACATCATCGTATACAACAAAGAGTTTGGTTTTATAAGTTGAGTAGTCGTGATGATTAACATTAGTAATGGATTCCAATTCTAGTGTGATTCTTGTTTTCAAAACTATTTGATTACTTTTCTTGAGCCAGCTACTCCTCCTTAGACGTAGACCGCCGACCAAAAATCTCCAAGTAACTTTGTTCTGGCCACTCCTTCCTAGTTGTTGTCAATCAGTATTCATGGTCGTGATGTTTGTCTCTGATTGGTAGCGTTGGTCTGCTTCCTTTCGTTTTGGCTTAAGTTAGTGTCTACATTGTGACACAGTATAGTAGCTTTTGCAAACTTTGTTCTGTTGATTTTCAATATCTGTCTAATTTCTTCCTCAATTGGCACATACCTTTACTTCTGATAGGATGAGTTTTTTATGACCATCTGTAGTACCTAGTGTAAGTGATCGTTTATGAATACTTGTACTTTCTTGGTGGTGATCTTGTCAGGGTTATTTTGACGTCAATGTGGAAAATTCTATGACCTTGGATGAGGATTCTTTTGAGCTCCGGATATTCTTCAATTGTATGAATGTTGCTCTTACCCAACTAACGCACACCTTGGGATCCGCATTAGACTATTGATTATTAGTGATACTACCGAGGTGCGTAAACGTTTCCAACTCTTCCAGAGCTTCGCCATCAAGTACGGTTTGGTTGATTTTCCCTGTATCATGTTTTGGGGATCTCGCTTCTTCCCTTGTGAATATATAGACCTACTTCTACACTGGCTGTCTTCACCTGCATTTGCTGCTGTATATGGAATAGAAGGGCTAGGTCATCTGCCCACTGTATTGTGTTTTTCGTGAGATTTAGAGGTCTCATAATTTAGTCAACAACCAGGAGAAAGAGAAAAGATGAAAGTAGACAGCCTTATTTTTATCTGAGTCTTCACTTGGAATACATATGTGAGCTGTCTTCCATGCAAGACTTTTCAATTCAGTTCCTTATATGAATTCCGTATGTTAGTGACTATTATCCCAGGTTTCAAAAGGCTTTCCCATAGACACTGGAACATCTCCCCCATAGTCAAGAACGTTGAGTTTCATTCAATTTATTGCTCAACAATGACCCACAGTGTTAAGATCCGGTCTGTACATGACCGATCCCTACAAAATACTGTTTGTTGATTTCGAAGTTAAACGTCTATTGAAGCTTTCATTCGGTTTAGCAACACTTGAAAATTTTGACTGGGACTGATAAAAATGTGCTGTACTTGTAGTTCTCACATCCACCAATATGAGATATCGTTCTTTCCTCCCAAAGCTTCCTAAACATAACATTGGACATCTTTTCAGTTACTGCCATAATTGACTCCAGTACTACGTCTGATATGCCGTCTGGTCCAACAGCTTCTGGTCTATTCAGTGTGCTCTGTCCACCTGTTTTACTGCTATTGGTTCTCAGTGGTTGGTTTCCCTTTGTTCTTGATTGGTCGATCTGGTTTCTTACACTTCTCGCTAACAGAAATCCACTCCAAAAGTGTTCTGCGCTTGTAATTAGTACTATGCATACACCTGCCAGTTCACGAGAACTAGCCATCGGGTCGCCAGATACGCGGAGGGTGTATCTCGTCGGATCCTCGTTTTGCGAGGTGAGGTCAAGTAAATGACCACACTAGGATCCTGTGTTCGTGTTCCCTCGCGAAGATTGTTAGGTGTTTTCCTGGACATTTCTTCAGGATAGACTGTATTATCTGATAGAACAGGTCTTCATAATCTTTACTGACATCATTGATGGGTGTGTATCGGTGGGCAATATTCATTACAATGTTTTCTTTTTTTGCTTTGGAGTATGTTTCGATAATTCTGTCGCCTTAGGTCTCCCATCTTATAGGCGGTTTTCGTGTTTTTCTGGACAGCATCAGTGCAACTCGTGTATATGTTGCGCTTTCTTCCTTATGACGAGAACACAACAGTTCTACTGAAATGAAATGATTTCTGTCCAGATTGTGTACATGTAGTTTTACTTATTTCACGCAGATCTGGCTTGTGTATTGTCATTTCTGTGACTTTAGATGATCCGGTTTTTCGCGCAATCTGGACATCCCACACCATTTATTTGTGCTTCTCTGATCGACGGAAGTGGCGTTGCACTTGTGTCTGGTTGTTCAGCAAAGATGTACTACTATAATCTGATTATGACGAGTTTATTGATCAAGTATCAAATAAATTCTCCACTTCATTTAAAAAATATCCCCGTATGAAAAGTACGAATGGCAAATCAGATCTTCCTACTGAGTTTACTGTTTTTACTTTGAACCAAAGTTCTTTATGGTCATCACGTTAATGTGAAACAATACTTAATTATTTGAAGATATGCTGTACTATCAATTGTGTCTCACGAAAATGTAAAATTCATTTTGTCGGGTGTTTGAGTTACGACCTTTAGGCTAGGTTATTTTTTTAAGGAATGCCTAACTGTATGGTAACGCGTCTACATATACGAAGACGAAAAACATGAATAAGGAAACAGTATGAGATGCCTTTGGAATCACAGTGTGGAAAAGTTTACAACTCTGATATTCAATGGCAAGATGTTAAAAGAACTCAGCGACCACTAGTTAAATCACTGCGTTTAAACAGATATTTCGTTTAAAAATCCCCATATTAAAATACTAATATATGAACGATGATTATTCTTTCCAGTAAATTCTCTTTGGGTTCTGCTGTAATTTTTATTTGTTTTACGAACAATCTTAAATTCACATGCTATGGTTTTATATGATGTACTTCTCTTAAACGTAGTCACTCTTTGGATTATTAATTTGAATGTGGAACTGAAAGAAAATTTATTGGAAAATAATACTCCGTTCATATATTAGTGCTTTACTTATCCCTTTTTTCGTCTCACTTTAAACAGTTGGCCTTCACCACATAAAGCTTAAGCTACGATTTAGTTTAAGAAATTATGAAGTTGAATAACCTCACTAGAAAAAGTGGTTTCAGATTATACGCTAATTTCTTATGATGATATTTTTATTTTTACGAAATCTGGTGTGTATAACTTGACCGATTCAAGGACTATTCTGCAATGTTTTAAAGTAGCATCATAAGTTGTATCCTGTTAGTGCTACATTTAGATTGTCTACATGATTCTCTCTGGTATAAAATTTTACCGTTTCAAAACCCCTTGAAAAAACTTCCCGTCTATAGAGATAATATGTGCAAACGTTCTCGTTGTGATACAATAGTAAACAGGACTTTGTTAACTTGAGTTACTTTTTTCATCTTTTGTCGCAAATTATTTCGGAAAGAAAGCACATCAAATCACTAATCGATCTATAGATTACGTGTATTCAATAATCAATGACCACTTATTTTATACCACAATTGCTTCATACATCAATACGCGAACACTTGAAAGAGAGAGGGTATTACCAAGTAGTTTTATTTCCATATAGTTTTATGTTTTGTCTTAACTGTTATATTCTTTTACCGATTTGTTTATTATGAAAGCCATTATTTAGGCAAGTTACACGCCATGAAAAAACTGAAAAGAAGAAACCTGAGAGTGGTGAATTAAGGCTGACTATTCATAATTTACCATACTCTATTACTATAACTGAGTTAGAAGATGAATTTCTTACAGCCAAATCAATCATAATAAATACGAAGAAAACTGGAGTTAATAAAGGGTAAGATTTAGATGTTATTCTTTATAAATTATGTTTTCCATGTTGATACTCAGATGATAATTCTAATTTATATTGACGCTAAATTGGTACAGTCAAAAATCTAGTGATTCATTAGTATATTAGTTCAGAATAAATATAACAGCGCTCTATATCTCGTGGAAATTTCTTTAAAACTCTGTTGTATGTTTCTGTGTGCACATTTTGGTATCTCATCTTATTTTGATTTCAGTAGTTAAAATGAAGTGAATTGCAAAACATCAAAGTCATAACAGTTGCCGCAGATGATGGTAGATTACGCCTGCTAGTAAAACAAATATTAACAGGCGATTGTCGATAAAAAGATTTGTCTAAGATAAACTAGTTGGTAGTATTTTCAGTAAAGACTACTGGCACAATAAATACAATTTTTGTAATGCAGATCAATGACTATCTCCGAAACTTCGATTACTGTTCTGATGAACCAACTTTGACTGCTTATTTCAAACACTTAAAATAATTATAATAAAACGAAAGTCGAACGAAACTCCAAGCTTGAATAAAATGACTCCAAATTTCCTACTTAGTTTGCATTCGAGACGCAAATTTATTTTTTGGTATTAAAATAAGTTTTGTTTCGGCTAAGTTAGTTAATGAAATCGTGAGACTGGGAAACAGTTTATATCCATTCTTTCAACAGAATAACATTCGAGCACTGTAATTTCCGATCTTTTGGAAAATCTCAGTCAGTTTCATGACCAAAAGGTCAATTCGCCACCATCCCTAGAAAGGGTTGGAAATAAGTCATCTTGACCTAGTGATTTGCGGAGCTTCGAAGGTTGGAGCTCCCTGTGGACTTCCGCCTTGCTAAGTGGATCAGTCGACGCTGGCCAGGAAGGATATGATAATCTGCTGTTACCGGAGCAGCAGAATAGCTGAACTGTCCATCGTCCAAAACGTCGGTAAGTGTTATTAATTGGCGTGACATCACAAATTTTATGCACAATTCTGGGTAGACTTCCAATTTAATCCTCTTTTTTGAATGATATTTACCTGATTTATTCACTGGCGTAAATGTTGTCACTGAAGAATTGCATAAAAATATTTCAGTGCTCACTATGATGCTGCAAGTAAGTAGTCTGAAATCTTTAGGTTTTTTCGACTTTTTCACCTAGTATTCGAATTTCATAGTTTATTTCTAATGGTATTTTTTATTTTTTTGATTGGTTTATTAGATCCTGTTTACTTGAGTTTGAATGTCATGATGATCTTCAAGTTGTTCTGGATGCTTGTCAGAATAAAGTGATCGGTGGTCGCCGTGTATCTGCCTTGCCCGGTCTTCATTTTGAAATTAAATCCGAAAACACTAAAGCAAATACTAAAGAAGCCACTACATTTGGCATAAAAATATGCAAAATGTCTACATCAGTAGAAGATGATCGACTTCGACAGCAGTTTCCATTGGGATCCATAATTGAATATCGTTCAGTGCTTACTAGTAATCCATCATGCAGGTAATACACATTTGTTCACTTTTGCGCCAATTTCTATGCACATGTGTAATGTTTATATTTATATGCAGCTGAATCTCTTGTTCCAATGCATTGTTCTTTTTAAAATTTTATGTATATCACCATCCTCCGTTTCTAGCGAATGTCTCTCTTTTTTTCTTCAGAAATGTATTTCTCACTCTCAGGAACAATATATCTAATCAATTAATTGTTAAAAAACTTCGTAGAAAAGGTATCGACCAACATCGCCTGCACATACAATCATGGTGTAAGTGTTGCTGTATTCACGAATAAATAATATGATGCTAGTAATCGCATACAAGTATACACCTGCTGTGTAAAGTATAATGAATTTATTAGAATGTATAAATCTTGGCCAATGAGATGAGGTTCTGACCTGGGCACATTTTATTGTTTAAACCAATCCATCACATCAAGTTTCATGGAGCAACTTTTAGGTTAAAAAAGGATCTTAATTTTTGGAAATTTGTTGGGAACTCCAAACATCGTACATTAAGTAGTATAGATTAGGACAATAAACTAGTAATATTAATGACCAGTACTCGTTATATGTATACCATACATTTTGTTCTCCTCAACTTATTGTCTTAAAATCAGAATTGATCAGAAATCTGTGGCAATAAGAAAGTTTCTAATGTTACTCACAATAAAATATTCAACCTAGTGTATATTTTGAAATAATGAACAAAATTATCGAGTTACCAGTTGTTTAATGGAAATTATTGTTCTTCACATGCCATCTTGTTTGAAATAGTAGGTCCCATTCATTTTTGATTACTTTCAACCAGTTGACCGACAAAACTTTTGTATTCAGTTATTTTTTATTGGAAATATGGTGTTTGATTAAGTAATTATTGGCCCGGTGACTTCAGTCAGCCAGTTATCTATTTTTTCATTAGTCTGTTTAATAATTTGCTACGTATATTTATATGTACACTTTGTCACTTCAATATCCTATGTATATATATTTACCAGTAAATTACAAATAATTACTTGATTTTTATGCTCCACTTTATTTCTATGTTCAGACAAAAAGGACTTCAAATCTCAAAAAAGTGAGCTAAAGCCACCAACTGACGGTAAGCTTTATGTTTACAGACTAGTAGTGAAGTATTTCTTTTGAAAGTATGTTTCTGTTCAGGTTTCTATTAATTTTGTTAAGTGATCAACGTTCAGTATTTCCAACACTTAGTTTACATTTAGATGAAGCTTGCTAGATACTCATAACATTCTATATATTTGTCAGTCAGCTACAACGTAGGACCAGGCACATATATACATCTATGTATTTGTACTTAGTATATATAGCGAAAGCATACTATCAGTAAATCCACGTCAAATCAGAAGAGAAAAGCATTAAGTATATTTTTTCTAATAGTCATGAATGACTTATTTTATCGACTCTGCCTATCTGCATTTCCTTAAATTCACCTGATTAAAAAAACCCATCAACGTATAGTTTGTGTCAATTAAGGGAGCTTCTAATTATACAACGCTAAATGTTGATTTTGATATTTACAAAACATTAATTGAACTATTATTCTCTGTATGTTTTGTTTGGAAGGTAACAAAAACAAAATTGATGAACCGAAATTAAAGGCGAGTTGTTCAGCTGAAAATGGTGAAATGACATTTTCAGAATCAGGTAAGGAAGAACTTTTCTTCTCCCTTGAGTGTTTTGTAGTAAGACATTGGATAACTTTTCATCGTATGTGCATCTGTGTTAAGAGAATTTCCAACTTAAAGTGATAATGTGGTTACCTAGCTTGTTGGTTAAATCGTATTTACCTATAGCTGTTAGTTCAATTTGTTTAGCTTGAATGGGGACTTGTAGAATTTTCTTACTGCTATTAAACTCACGGTTGTATTCTAAAGTGACTGTATTCTTTGATTTTTGTTAGTATTTAGTGTGTTAATCCCAACACACTTCTTTAATTCTGTTAAATATCACTTACTTTAATGTTGTACTTACCTGAATACCATTGATGAAACACCTAATGTAGGTGTATCCTTTTGATAACAACTAATATTAATTGAATTAAAAACCATTAATCTATATTTTCAAGTCTCAATAATTTGGCGGCAATCCGTTGCAGGATATCGAGAGAAACAACAAGATTGAAGTTTTTTGAACACTGCTAGAATGATGACTGCTTTCCTCGTCATATTATTAAAACTGTACGTGCATGTAAAATACCTCCTTTATTAAAAAATCTGCGACTTATCACAAAATCCCAAATTAAATGCACCAAGGAACTTATCCTTATACTCAAAACAGAACCCCTTGGTTTTGACAAAATTGTTATGGATTTAAATATTGTGTGCCGAATCAAACTCATGAAGACATTAACCGAAACAGTTGTAAAAGAACAAGAGCATGACGTCTTTCCTACTAATCCAGGAAATTACATACGGAATTTATCGAGTAAAAAACAGTCGAATTAAAATGGAAGCGCTTTCCCTTAGATTTCAATTTCATATTCTGAAAAAATTTAACAGAATCGACACCGAAATGCAATTCGAGTATTTATATCAACAGTTGTCAGGCCTAAAACCCATGAATGATGTAAAACAAAGTTGGTTGAAATCAAAATTAGTGGATATTACAAATCAGTGAGTTACGACACCAGTTCAGCAATCTAAGGTGTTGACTTTAGATCATCAGAAAGCATTGAAAAAGCTTATGAAAGAAAAAACAATATTGCTACTTCGTCCAGATAAGGGTTCCGGTGTAGGCATCTTAAACAGAGACAAATACATTAGCAAAGTAATGTCCATTGTGAATGATTCCACGAGATTTATTGTCGAAAGACTTAACAGATGCGACTGAGAAGCGTCTTTTAAAAAAGTTGAGAGAATTCTTGAAGAAAAATCTAGTCGATAATCATACGTACAATGAACTCAAACCGAAAGAATCGCAATTATATTACTTATACGGTCTACCTAAAATACAAAAATCTAACATCCCGATAAGACCAGTATTATCTATGACCAAATCGTCTTTCCATAGACTCGCCCGCTGACTGAATAGGTGCTTAGAACCAATCCTCAGGAAACTATCACCCTACAGTCTGAAGGATAGTTCCAAATTTGTACAAAAACTTGACAGCTTAATTGCTTCCGATAAATTCATGGTCTCGTTTGATGTCTCATCACTCTTCACAACGATCCCTTTGGAAGAAACGGCAGATATATGTGAATATCCTGAACTCTTGCCTTTACCAATCCACGAATTCAAACAGCTCCCGTTCCTGTGTACCAGAAACATACAATTTCAACTTAACAGTGTGTTGTACTGCCAAATTGATATAGTAACCCTCTGAGTCCAACTCTGGTCGATATATTTATGGGAAACCTGAAGCAGAGGAGGCTCAAGCACGCAATCGATGGGACTACACTACTGTAGATATGTTGATGACACATTACTCGTCTGTAGCAATCATATGCATTCTATGAACCTACTCAATCTGTTTGAGAAAGCACACAAAGATATAGATCTTATTATGGAACACGAAGTAGAAGGTAAATTCCATTTCTTAGATATTGGAATCAGACAAACCTCAGATGGCACATTACAAAGACACATTCACCTCAAAAATATCTGGAATGGAATCTATCTCAATTACAACATTTTCCGTCCAATGAGTTACATAAAGGGTATTGTACGAACCCTTTTTGACTGTGCGCGCAAAATTTGCTCAACGGAATGCCTGGAAGATGAAATTTCTCTCATTACAAATTACTTACGTGAAAATGCATATCCCGTAAAGTTCATTGAGAAGTATGCCAAAACCAACCTTCGGGTTAAATACGATACAGTTGAAAAAAACTGCTTCTTATACTTACGCTTCAGAGGAGATGAAATCATCTATGTCAATTGTTTCACATTTTATCTTAACTCAATGTAAAATCTCAATACATATTTAGTTGTAAGGAGCTGATGAGAAACCACAAAATATAATGAATTCATATTATTGTCCATCCATGTTTGTTCTGGCTTTATTTAACTTCATAAAGGGAACTAATTGCATGAAATTAATCTATATCATTGACGGTAGTAATGGTTAGAGTTATAAAAATTATCACTTGACACCAGTTCCTGTTTAACTCCACATTGCAATTTTTAGTGTAAAAATGAACTTTTCTAGCGTGGTTGTTCTGATTTTTGACAGACAGTGATGTTTTAGAAAAAGGCTTGACTTTTTCCTTTCGAAACATTTAACACACTTATGTATGATGTCCCGCTTTGAATGTTCAGACATCACAGTACATGTTTATCATAAAAGAATTTGTCAAATCTATTCACGTATGTTTATATACTAATCCTGTATCCTTAAATTTCTTATTGATTAACACCGAAAGAAGTTCACATTTCAGCCAAAACGTTCTAGGCTTTCATCAGCTTCTCTGATATTTTTTTTAGTAAAAGATGATTTTTGACACACTCCTTTACCAAATCAATGTTGCAACGATAATGTATTATGCTTGATTGTGTCTATTCTCATTGTACTTTGTTCAATAGATAAAAAGAATAAATCAAAAAAACAGAAACTTGAAAAAATGGATGTCTCTTTGGAGAATACTAAACTTGTGGCTTCAGACTCAGGTGAATACTGCTTATTTGCATTCTCTTTTGTATACTTTAAGAATCGTAACGACCAACTATCTACTCATCTTATTTCACTAGAGAAGATTTACATTTAGCAGTAAAACAATGCAAGGGATTGCTACAACAAATAGACAACTTACGTAACAGTTAGACATATTGACGTAAAATTTTGCATTGAAGTACATCCACTCAACTTACCATGCACCGAAATCGAATGAATATTAAACAAACCAAAGAGAACTGAAACAGGTGATTCAAGAAAACAATATAAGTGCTACAAATTTCAAGGGTCAAATAGGGTAGTGAATAAATTTGTGTTATTGTAATCAACTCATGTATCAAACCATTGATTTTTTTTCATGATATGCAATCTGGAAATTAAACCTCCCAAATGATTCAAATTGTGGGTTTTTTCATTTTATGAACTAATGGTGTAATTTAGTACGAAATCTTTGATTCCAACTTTTACTGTGACCACCCCATAGTATCCAGCAAATTGGCTTTACGCATGTGGTGCACTATCCTATCACTTCACTTGACATGGACCAACAAATTTATCATTTAACCTGTCACTCCTACTCAGACTGGCCCTAATGATTTACTTGAAAAGTAGAATACTGTATTGATTTATATCAAGTTGATCACTGAAAATAGTTTTACTTCTTTTTCATCTATCTAGCCAATAAAAAGCACAAATTGAAAAAACGGAAATATGAGTGCGTAGACGTAAATATGATCGATTCGCATTCGTGTAAGTAAATAGTCCGATGTTGAAACGGTCGTACTTTGCATTTAATGTACTTGCTTTTTATCCTGTGTTTCTTGTAAGTACTTACATGAACGAAACAAATACAACACAGGGGCTCATTAAGCGTTGATATATATGACAGTTTTCACTTATGTATCCACAATGTTTTTATTTTAGCGAACACTCCACAGTCTCATAAGAAAAAGGAGTTCAAAACCAAAGAAAGAAGTCACATCGGTGACAATCCAAAACACATAGTATTCGATCAAGGTAGGTACACATAGTTTACTTAATGTGTTAAATTACCTGCTTGCAAAATTGAATTTGATTTTTATGTGTATCAATATGTGCGCTTAAAAGATAATCATTTTTGTTCTGTAAATGAACTGTTATCACATTGTCTCGAACAGTATTTCGTGTAAAATTAGAATTTTTTTGTGTTGATAATGATAATATTACTGAGGAATATGCTGATATAAACTTGATTAAGAAGCTGTGAGAACTACTGTACGGAAACTAGTTTTACTTATCATTTGACAATATGAATGAGACTTTACAACGAGCTTCTAAAGTCCCATCAAGCTAGTAAAAATGATATATCGAAGGTAAATCAAGCAAATATAGGATACCCTTTATAGATTACTTTCATAACGTATAGGTTTCTTACTTTGAGACTATTCTTCAGTTAGTCAGTGTACATTATGGTCGTAGTTCATTCATACTGGTCCTATTAGTTGTCTACTATAGCTCATTCATCGCAGTAAATTAAATAGCATTAATTCAACTACAGTTATATCTATTGTTTTTTGAAATAATGTGTTTACTATTTAGTTGAACACTAGCCACAATACAAGGAAAAAAGACCCACTTTTCTTCATTAGATTTTGGTACATAAGCACTCTTTATTACACTTTACTTTAGCGAGATTGTTCTACTTAAATTTAGAATCCGATTGGACCGATCAAAAGTTGTTAAAGTAGTAATTTGAAAAATGATTTCCTGGAAAATATGTATTCCATTTACAAAGCTTCTATACTTAAGTGATTGCGATTGCGTAATGCCTTGTATTCAGCCGACATTTTACGTAGTTATATCGAATTCGGTTTGTCAGTGGTAGACACTTTTCATTTTTGTACTTTACTGGACAGTACCCTCGGAATGATCTACTATCAGCTTAGTGAATAGTGTTCACTTTAGTTAAAAGTGATTAAAATTATTTCTACACATTTCAAACTATTTCGTATATCGATGTTAGCGCTTACTCTCGTTACATTTTTTGTTACAATCAGTGATTATACTGACCATATGAAAAGCAAAATTTATTGATACCGACTTCTCCAGACCATAAAAACATGAGTTACTTAGCCGCATAGTTGCAATTATCGTTAAAACGAATTGTTTCAATGATAAACAGCATGAAACCTGACACAATTTTCCGTCGGACCCATTTGGTACACACAACATCTGAACAGTGAAAGAGAGAAGAAGAACAAGTTAAGCTTGGAAGAATCGTGTTGATGATAGGAATTGAGTTTATGAAAGAACGAATGACAATGCGGATAGAAAAGCTAAAGAATGTATACATCTACACTAATTCAACCTATTTCGAGCCACGAATTAATTGCAGTTTTTTGTTTCCTTCTGAGCAATTTTAGGTATGTTTGTGTGTAAATTTAAATTCTTGGGGAAAGTCTATATTGTTTCGCGAATTCAATTTTTGAATCAATGAATCTTGCATTCTTGACAACTGATGTTCAAGAGAAATTCAGTATTCTTCATACATGCACACACCTACAAGGTATTGAAGTTAACCTTAAAAAACATCGACTTAGTTTCGAGAAACCTAGAAGCATATTTCAACAAGCGATCCCCTAAGGACTAGTTGCTCCAATGATGAAAATTTTCCGTTCTTATGCCCCCCCCCTAATGCTACTTTTACGGTCCATGACGCACGATAGTAATCTTACAAATCACCAATGATTTTAATACTGGTATTTACTTCGATTTCAGCTATATCTAAGCAATTATTTGGTAGATTGTGTTTAAATAATAATTGTTTTCACGTTTTCTGATCTTTCTAGATGGTTATTATATTTGTGAGTGCAAGGCAAAAGAGTTAAAATCTATTAATATTGTTACAAAATTACACAATACTAAATGTTGATTTTGATATTTACAAAACATTAATTGAACTATTATTCTCTGTATGTTTTGTTTGGAAGGTAACAAAAACAAAATTGATGAACCGAAATTAAAGGCGAGTTGTTCAGCTGAAAATGGTGAAATGACATTTTCAGAATCAGGTAAGGAAGAACTTTTCTTCTCCCTTGAGTGTTTTGTAGTAAGACATTGGATAACTTTTCATCGTATGTGCATCTGTGTTGAGAGAATTTCCAACTTAAAGTGATAATGTGGTTACCTAGCTTGTTGGTTAAATCGTATTTACCTATAGCTGTTAGTTCAATTTGTTTAGCTTGAATGGGGACTTGTAGAATTTTCTTACTGCTATTAAACTCACGGTTGTATTCTAAAGTGACTGTATTCTTTGATTTTTGTTAGTATTTAGTGTGTTAATCCCAACACACTTCTTTAATTCTGTTAAATATCACTTACTTTAATGTTGTACTTACCTGAATACCATTGATGAAACACCTAATGTAGGTGTATCCTTTTGATAACAACTAATATTAATTGAATTAAAAACCATTAATCTATATTTTCAAGTCTCAATAATTTGGCGGCAATCCGTTGCAGGATATCGAGAGAAACAACAAGATTGAAGTTTTTTGAACACTGCTAGAATGATGACTGCTTTCCTCGTCATATTATTAAAACTGTACGTGCATGTAAAATACCTCCTTTATTAAAAAATCTGCGACTTATCACAAAATCCCAAATTAAATGCACCAAGGAACTTATCCTTATACTCAAAACAGAACCCCTTGGTTTTGACAAAATTGTTATGGATTTAAATATTGTGTGCCGAATCAAACTCATGAAGACATTAACCGAAACAGTTGTAAAAGAACAAGAGCATGACGTCTTTCCTACTAATCCAGGAAATTACATACGGAATTTATCGAGTAAAAAACAGTCGAATTAAAATGGAAGCGCTTTCCCTTAGATTTCAATTTCATATTCTGAAAAAATTTAACAGAATCGACACCGAAATGCAATTCGAGTATTTATATCAACAGTTGTCAGGCCTAAAACCCATGAATGATGTAAAACAAAGTTGGTTGAAATCAAAATTAGTGGATATTACAAATCAGTGAGTTACGACACCAGTTCAGCAATCTAAGGTGTTGACTTTAGATCATCAGAAAGCATTGAAAAAGCTTATGAAAGAAAAAACAATATTGCTACTTCGTCCAGATAAGGGTTCCGGTGTAGGCATCTTAAACAGAGACAAATACATTAGCAAAGTAATGTCCATTGTGAATGATTCCACGAGATTTATTGTCGAAAGACTTAACAGATGCGACTGAGAAGCGTCTTTTAAAAAAGTTGAGAGAATTCTTGAAGAAAAATCTAGTCGATAATCATACGTACAATGAACTCAAACCGAAAGAATCGCAATTATATTACTTATACGGTCTACCTAAAATACAAAAATCTAACATCCCGATAAGACCAGTATTATCTATGACCAAATCGTCTTTCCATAGACTCGCCCGCTGACTGAATAGGTGCTTAGAACCAATCCTCAGGAAACTATCACCCTACAGTCTGAAGGATAGTTCCAAATTTGTACAAAAACTTGACAGCTTAATTGCTTCCGATAAATTCATGGTCTCGTTTGATGTCTCATCACTCTTCACAACGATCCCTTTGGAAGAAACGGCAGATATATGTGAATATCCTGAACTCTTGCCTTTACCAATCCACGAATTCAAACAGCTCCCGTTCCTGTGTACCAGAAACATACAATTTCAACTTAACAGTGTGTTGTACTGCCAAATTGATATAGTAACCCTCTGAGTCCAACTCTGGTCGATATATTTATGGGAAACCTGAAGCAGAGGAGGCTCAAGCACGCAATCGATGGGACTACACTACTGTAGATATGTTGATGACACATTACTCGTCTGTAGCAATCATATGCATTCTATGAACCTACTCAATCTGTTTGAGAAAGCACACAAAGATATAGATCTTATTATGGAACACGAAGTAGAAGGTAAATTCCATTTCTTAGATATTGGAATCAGACAAACCTCAGATGGCACATTACAAAGACACATTCACCTCAAAAATATCTGGAATGGAATCTATCTCAATTACAACATTTTCCGTCCAATGAGTTACATAAAGGGTATTGTACGAACCCTTTTTGACTGTGCGCGCAAAATTTGCTCAACGGAATGCCTGGAAGATGAAATTTCTCTCATTACAAATTACTTACGTGAAAATGCATATCCCGTAAAGTTCATTGAGAAGTATGCCAAAACCAACCTTCGGGTTAAATACGATACAGTTGAAAAAAACTGCTTCTTATACTTACGCTTCAGAGGAGATGAAATCATCTATGTCAATTGTTTCACATTTTATCTTAACTCAATGTAAAATCTCAATACATATTTAGTTGTAAGGAGCTGATGAGAAACCACAAAATATAATGAATTCATATTATTGTCCATCCATGTTTGTTCTGGCTTTATTTAACTTCATAAAGGGAACTAATTGCATGAAATTAATCTATATCATTGACGGTAGTAATGGTTAGAGTTATAAAAATTATCACTTGACACCAGTTCCTGTTTAACTCCACATTGCAATTTTTAGTGTAAAAATGAACTTTTCTAGCGTGGTTGTTCTGATTTTTGACAGACAGTGATGTTTTAGAAAAAGGCTTGACTTTTTCCTTTCGAAACATTTAACACACTTATGTATGATGTCCCGCTTTGAATGTTCAGACATCACAGTGCATGTTTATCATAAAAGAATTTGTCAAATCTATTCACGTATGTTTATATACTAATCCTGTATCCTTAAATTTCTTATTGATTAACACCGAAAGAAGTTCACATTTCAGCCAAAACGTTCTAGGCTTTCATCAGCTTCTCTGATATTTTTTTTAGTAAAAGATGATTTTTGACACACTCCTTTACCAAATCAATGTTGCAACGATAATGTATTATGCTTGATTGTGTCTATTCTCATTGTACTTTGTTCAATAGATAAAAAGAATAAATCAAAAAAACAGAAACTTGAAAAAATGGATGTCTCTTTGGAGAATACTAAACTTGTGGCTTCAGACTCAGGTGAATACTGCTTATTTGCATTCTCTTTTGTATACTTTAAGAATCGTAACGACCAACTATCTACTCATCTTATTTCACTAGAGAAGATTTACATTTAGCAGTAAAACAATGCAAGGGATTGCTACAACAAATAGACAACTTACGTAACAGTTAGACATATTGACGTAAAATTTTGCATTGAAGTACATCCACTCAACTTACCATGCACCGAAATCGAATGAATATTAAACAAACCAAAGAGAACTGAAACAGGTGATTCAAGAAAACAATATAAGTGCTACAAATTTCAAGGGTCAAATAGGGTAGTGAATAAATTTGTGTTATTGTAATCAACTCATGTATCAAACCATTGATTTTTTTTCATGATATGCAATCTGGAAATTAAACCTCCCAAATGATTCAAATTGTGGGTTTTTTCATTTTATGAACTAATGGTGTAATTTAGTACGAAATCTTTGATTCCAACTTTTACTGTGACCACCCCATAGTATCCAGCAAATTGGCTTTACGCATGTGGTGCACTATCCTATCACTTCACTTGACATGGACCAACAAATTTATCATTTAACCTGTCACTCCTACTCAGACTGGCCCTAATGATTTACTTGAAAAGTAGAATACTGTATTGATTTATATCAAGTTGATCACTGAAAATAGTTTTACTTCTTTTTCATCTATCTAGCCAATAAAAAGCACAAATTGAAAAAACGGAAATATGAGTGCGTAGACGTAAATATGATCGATTCGCATTCGTGTAAGTAAATAGTCCGATGTTGAAACGGTCGTACTTTGCATTTAATGTACTTGCTTTTTATCCTGTGTTTCTTGTAAGTACTTACATGAACGAAACAAATACAACACAGGGGCTCATTAAGCGTTGATATATATGACAGTTTTCACTTATGTATCCACAATGTTTTTATTTTAGCGAACACTCCACAGTCTCATAAGAAAAAGGAGTTCAAAACCAAAGAAAGAAGTCACATCGGTGACAATCCAAAACACATAGTATTCGATCAAGGTAGGTACACATAGTTTACTTAATGTGTTAAATTACCTGCTTGCAAAATTGAATTTGATTTTTATGTGTATCAATATGTGCGCTTAAAAGATAATCATTTTTGTTCTGTAAATGAACTGTTATCACATTGTCTCGAACAGTATTTCGTGTAAAATTAGAATTTTTTTGTGTTGATAATGATAATATTACTGAGGAATATGCTGATATAAACTTGATTAAGAAGCTGTGAGAACTACTGTACGGAAACTAGTTTTACTTATCATTTGACAATATGAATGAGACTTTACAACGAGCTTCTAAAGTCCCATCAAGCTAGTAAAAATGATATATCGAAGGTAAATCAAGCAAATATAGGATACCCTTTATAGATTACTTTCATAACGTATAGGTTTCTTACTTTGAGACTATTCTTCAGTTAGTCAGTGTACATTATGGTCGTAGTTCATTCATACTGGTCCTATTAGTTGTCTACTATAGCTCATTCATCGCAGTAAATTAAATAGCATTAATTCAACTACAGTTATATCTATTGTTTTTTGAAATAATGTGTTTACTATTTAGTTGAACACTAGCCACAATACAAGGAAAAAAGACCCACTTTTCTTCATTAGATTTTGGTACATAAGCACTCTTTATTACACTTTACTTTAGCGAGATTGTTCTACTTAAATTTAGAATCCGATTGGACCGATCAAAAGTTGTTAAAGTAGTAATTTGAAAAATGATTTCCTGGAAAATATGTATTCCATTTACAAAGCTTCTATACTTAAGTGATTGCGATTGCGTAATGCCTTGTATTCAGCCGACATTTTACGTAGTTATATCGAATTCGGTTTGTCAGTGGTAGACACTTTTCATTTTTGTACTTTACTGGACAGTACCCTCGGAATGATCTACTATCAGCTTAGTGAATAGTGTTCACTTTAGTTAAAAGTGATTAAAATTATTTCTACACATTTCAAACTATTTCGTATATCGATGTTAGCGCTTACTCTCGTTACATTTTTTGTTACAATCAGTGATTATACTGACCATATGAAAAGCAAAATTTATTGATACCGACTTCTCCAGACCATAAAAACATGAGTTACTTAGCCGCATAGTTGCAATTATCGTTAAAACGAATTGTTTCAATGATAAACAGCATGAAACCTGACACAATTTTCCGTCGGACCCATTTGGTACACACAACATCTGAACAGTGAAAGAGAGAAGAAGAACAAGTTAAGCTTGGAAGAATCGTGTTGATGATAGGAATTGAGTTTATGAAAGAACGAATGACAATGCGGATAGAAAAGCTAAAGAATGTATACATCTACACTAATTCAACCTATTTCGAGCCACGAATTAATTGCAGTTTTTTGTTTCCTTCTGAGCAATTTTAGGTATGTTTGTGTGTAAATTTAAATTCTTGGGGAAAGTCTATATTGTTTCGCGAATTCAATTTTTGAATCAATGAATCTTGCATTCTTGACAACTGATGTTCAAGAGAAATTCAGTATTCTTCATACATGCACACACCTACAAGGTATTGAAGTTAACCTTAAAAAACATCGACTTAGTTTCGAGAAACCTAGAAGCATATTTCAACAAGCGATCCCCTAAGGACTAGTTGCTCCAATGATGAAAATTTTCCGTTCTTATGCCCCCCCCCTAATGCTACTTTTACGGTCCATGACGCACGATAGTAATCTTACAAATCACCAATGATTTTAATACTGGTATTTACTTCGATTTCAGCTATATCTAAGCAATTATTTGGTAGATTGTGTTTAAATAATAATTGTTTTCACGTTTTCTGATCTTTCTAGATGGCTAATATATTTTTCATTGCAAAGAAGATAAATATGTCTATAATGTTTTTAAAAATATTCATTCCTCGGAGTACCCGCTCATTGGTAAATTTGTTGAAATGATTTAAGTATTAAAGTTATCTTTTCACAGTGAATAAAGATTTTTTGATTAATTCGTGGTAATGCTATTGTAGTTTATAAATGTGCAAAGTCAGTTTACCAGTCGTCCAGGGCACTGGTATTCAGTCAGACAGTGAAGCTGATATTTTTATGTTGATCGTTAATATCCGCTAAATAAGAAACACCTCAGTCTTAATCCACTGTTATATCGTAATTTCATTTATTATCGTGTACGTTCACAGCCTGAATAGACTGGTCTCAACAATCCTTGCGTCTTCTTGCAAAGCAACTCGGTTCTCCGTGTTGTTAGATGCGTAAAGGTTTGAATGTGGTTGCAGAGAAGAGTGCTATGGCGTTACTTGAGGAGATAGCTCTATGTTATTAAAGTACTGTTGGAGAAGTGTATATATGGTACTAATTATTGACTATTACTCATAATCTCTGTTAAATCAAATAGGTTATGTCGTTTCCAATGACTTTATAAAATTGACTGGGGCACCTACTTTATGTGAGAATTGTGGGGTTGGCTATAAATGTATTATTTTACTAAAAAAAATAAATTGCGACAATCAGACGGATGTATCCATTTTCAATAAGTGACTCATCTTTAAGCATCTCTATTTCAAGTGATAATAATGTCGCATAGAAAATAAGTAAACGTCTTAACATTGTATTAACTATAACCTAGCTTTCAATAGCCAAATCGACATATATACTCTCTTTGCCACCGGTTGAATAGCCGAACCTCAAATAAAATTATTCCTTTCAACAATTATTATCGGTTTGACACGTAAGTCTTTTAGGTTTGCAGCAGACGGTCACCATTATCTGTTCGCTGAGCAAGAATACCAAAATACCCACTGAAATATCCATCTGTTGGATATAATCTACCTAGCTGGACATTAAATTCACCTTCTATGAACACTATGTCTGAGTGTTTAGCTTTTTGAAGAAATTCAGAAAGTTTTCTGTGAAAGTCATCCTTCACTTCATCCAGGTTGCAGTCAGAGAAAGCATAGGAAGAAATGACGAGAAGTTAACTATGTGTGTCCCTATCCTTCCGATTTCTTATGGAGCCGTTTAGCCGAACAGTACATAGACGACTGTTAACGGGGATCTACTGTATTAGTGCTTGTTCTGCCCTCGTACTTAGTGTTATGCGTACACCTGCCAGTTCACGAGAACTAGCCATCGGGTCGCCAGATACGCGGAGGGTGTATCTCGTCGGATCCTCGTTTTGCGAGGTGAGGTCAAGTAAATGACCACACTAGGATCCTGTGTTCGTGTTCCCTCGCGAAGATTGTTAGGTGTTTTCCTGGACATTTCTTCAGGATAGACTGTATTATCTGATAGAACAGGTCTTCATAATCTTTACTGACATCATTGATGGGTGTGTATCGGTGGGCAATATTCATTACAATGTTTTCTTTTTTTGCTTTGGAGTATGTTTCGATAATTCTGTCGCCTTAGGTCTCCCATCTTATAGGCGGTTTTCGTGTTTTTCTGGACAGCATCAGTGCAACTCGTGTATATGTTGCGCTTTCTTCCTTATGACGAGAACACAACAGTTCTACTGAAATGAAATGATTTCTGTCCAGATTGTGTACATGTAGTTTTACTTATTTCACGCAGATCTGGCTTGTGTATTGTCATTTCTGTGACTTTAGATGATCCGGTTTTTCGCGCAATCTGGACATCCCACACCATTTATTTGTGCTTCTCTGATCGACGGAAGTGGCGTTGCACTTGTGTCTGGTTGTTCAGCAAAGATGTACTACTATAATCTGATTATGACGAGTTTATTGATCAAGTATCAAATAAATTCTCCACTTCATTTAAAAAATATCCCCGTATGAAAAGTACGAATGGCAAATCAGATCTTCCTACTGAGTTTACTGTTTTTACTTTGAACCAAAGTTCTTTATGGTCATCACGTTAATGTGAAACAATACTTAATTATTTGAAGATATGCTGTACTATCAATTGTGTCTCACGAAAATGTAAAATTCATTTTGTCGGGTGTTTGAGTTACGACCTTTAGGCTAGGTTATTTTTTTAAGGAATGCCTAACTGTATGGTAACGCGTCTACATATACGAAGACGAAAAACATGAATAAGGAAACAGTATGAGATGCCTTTGGAATCACAGTGTGGAAAAGTTTACAACTCTGATATTCAATGGCAAGATGTTAAAAGAACTCAGCGACCACTAGTTAAATCACTGCGTTTAAACAGATATTTCGTTTAAAAATCCCCATATTAAAATACTAATATATGAACGATGATTATTCTTTCCAGTAAATTCTCTTTGGGTTCTGCTGTAATTTTTATTTGTTTTACGAACAATCTTAAATTCACATGCTATGGTTTTATATGATATACTTCTCTTAAACGTAGTCACTCTTTGGATTATTAATTTGAATGTGGAACTGAAAGAAAATTTATTGGAAAATAATACTCCGTTCATATATTAGTGCTTTACTTATCCCTTTTTTCGTCTCACTTTAAACAGTTGGCCTTCACCACATAAAGCTTAAGCTACGATTTAGTTTAAGAAATTATGAAGTTGAATAACCTCACTAGAAAAAGTGGTTTCAGATTATACGCTAATTTCTTATGATGATATTTTTATTTTTACGAAATCTGGTGTGTATAACTTGACCGATTCAAGGACTATTCTGCAATGTTTTAAAGTAGCATCATAAGTTGTATCCTGTTAGTGCTACATTTAGATTGTCTACATGATTCTCTCTGGTATAAAATTTTACCGTTTCAAAACCCCTTGAAAAAACTTCCCGTCTATAGAGATAATATGTGCAAACGTTCTCGTTGTGATACAATAGTAAACAGGACTTTGTTAACTTGAGTTACTTTTTTCATCTTTTGTCGCAAATTATTTCGGAAAGAAAGCACATCAAATCACTAATCGATCTATAGATTACGTGTATTCAATAATCAATGACCACTTATTTTATACCACAATTGCTTCATACATCAATACGCGAACACTTGAAAGAGAGAGGGTATTACCAAGTAGTTTTATTTCTATATAGTTTTATGTTTTGTTTTAATTTATATTTATTGAGGAATTTGTATTCCTAGCAATTCTTACGCTTGTGTTGCAATGCGATTTTGAAGTGTTTATATATATTCCTGACATTTATTGTGTTTATCATTGTAATTAATTTATCTCAATCATTGTTGCAATTCTTCACAACTTCGTGTATTTAGTCATCCATTGTTTAAACACAACGGTTCCCATATTGCTTGTTCTTGGTTCGTTCTTTTGCGTGTTCATAAACTGTTACAAAGTATTGACAGCTGGCTTTTGCACTATCGTATGTTGTAATTTTTCTTTATGTTACTATCACAGGTATCCTTTTTTATGTCAGATAATAATACGCCGCAGACACCTCTCACGTTGAGGCTTGTAACTAACTTTTGTATTTTATTCAATAAAGAACCGGTTTTGTACAAATCGTCGTTTTGTAACCTTCGATTTTGCGCGTATCTCAATTGGGTGACTCAACACCATTATTTAGGCAAGTTACGCTGTATCGTGCACCAGCTCAGATTTTGGAGATCGCTGGTAACAACACAGGTCTGTATAGTCAGCAGTACGACTTCGCCCACAGGCCTCGAGGAACGACTTTTTCATTAAGTATGACTTGATTAATTAACCACGATAGACTAACCCGACCAACTCTTCAAGGTAGCAACAACGAACAGCTCTTTAAGATAAGTGGTTATGCTAAATAACACGCGTATTGAACAACTCGATTCTTTTCTTGTTTACATTTTTAAAAATCAAAGATCCAATCTTCACTCTTTTGGCATAGTTAAAACAGCATTGTTGAATCAGTTCGTGCCTAAATCCTTGTCCTATGAAGGCATAAGTTTATTAGAACATATTTAAAAAACAACCAGAAAGGCATTATCAGATATTCTAGACAAGATGTGTTTCTCAATCAATAAATCTAGATAACTTAATTACATGTGTATGGGGCCTAAAACAGCGTTTACTACTACTCACAGTGAAGAAAAGTAGGACGAGACAGGAGGTTGGAACTTTTTTATTTAAAAATACCAAAGTTAAACATGTAAAATTATACATAACTACAAAAAATCCTTTAAATTTTCTTTGTAAAATACTAGTTTATTTCTAAAAATAAATGTTTTGTTTTCCCTACATTGTAATATTCATGATTGTCCAGTTATTCTCTTCATTCTGCTTCTAAAACATAGAATTGGCTTTTTCGAAACAAACAATAGAAAGAATGAATTGGTGGAACTTTCCCAGCATTATAAACACTAGAACAATTAATAACATTCAGTAGCAATTATTGCTTAAGGCCAAGTTCACAAAATTTTTAGTAAACTGACTGGTGTGTTACTTTTGGGTCAAAATCTTGTAATCAGATTTAATTCATTACTGTGAAATTCAATATTCGTTATTTAAAACTTCGGAACGACCAATCATAAAACGGGTCTCTAACATAGTAGCAAAAGCCTAAATATTAAGTTCAGGAACCGTGGCAATATGTGAAATCCGGCTTAAGAGGGGGGAATATCGGTGAGACGGTAAATAGGTTTGTTACTGGTTTTATGTCCAGGCAATGAATAATATCAATCCGCAAAAGATAATTATTACATTGAAATTATGAACCACCATTGGAAACCTGGAACCACTAGACAGCCGTTTCGTCACAATATGGGACATCCACGATAACGCTAGCGGGACTTGAGGCGACTGGGTTTTCATCCAATCCATGATGTCGCGCGACCATCTTACATTGTTTTTTGTGAGTAACTGCCTCACACTCGATACGGGGACTAGTGAAGTGCTGAAACAGCAACTGGATTTAGCATCTGGAAAAGCATTGACTTTTATAAAATAAATAGTTGTGGACTACTTGGTTAAAGTTAACGTGATCATAGTAACCAATGTTAAGAGATTTTGAATGACATAGACCAAATGCACAGGTGCACACATTTTTTCTCCGAGTGTTGAAATCTTTCTAGATCTTATTTTTATTACAGATACGGTTAATAGTTTAGGATTTCTCTTGAAATATTTTTATCTCGCTGTGCTAATGTGATATGGCAACTTAAACCGATGCCCTTGTGTTAGGTTATACGTTGAGTATGATGATAATGACATCTATAAGGATAGCACACATTCTTGTATGGAATATTATATTACTTAGTGGTTTTTCGGTGGTTTGTTAACATAATCAACTGTATTATCAATTTCAATACTGAACGGTTGCTAAGCTTTCGGATTAACGCGAGTCAGTCCGAATTACAGATTAATATCACATACTTCTCTACTTAACTCATGCACGTTAGCATTCAACTAGTAAGCACTTTAAAATGACTGGAATACGCAACATAAAATCGGACATTTTTGATTTAAGTTGAACATCGACATCATCATGTGTTGATGTCCCGAAGACAACAGTATTCTTCGTGGTCCAAATCCTTAAGGTCACTATTTTTCTGCAAAGTTTTTTTAAAGATTAATGAAAAACGGCATTCTCTTTAATGGGATTTAGTCAGTGGTGTAATCTGCACGAATTTGTATAACTGGAGTAAGTTTATATTTCAAGTTCAATGTTTTTCGTGCACATAAGATGCAGAAAAAATTATAATCTGCTAGCTAAAATACTCTATAAGAAGTATGTTCGTCTAATGTAGCAAAATTACCATCCGAAGAACGTTGGGTGCTATATAAATAGTACGTTATACGATAGGCTTTCCGATGGTTGGTAGATAGATGATTATTTATGGTAGGAATGTCACTACCAAAATGCCCTGGTACGCCGAGGGTGGGGAGCATCATCTCTCACTTCAGAAATACTCTCACATGGACACGCGTATACAGCAATTGCGAGAGAACTCCTACTCACTGCCTTCTCGCGGAGAGGGTGCTGTTTACGAAATTGAAAATACGAAAAGCGAATGTCCGGTGCCTTAACTGAGTTGGTGGGTATGGAGGACCCATCTAAAAGAGTTAGCTGGAGAACCCTGATTCCAAACCAATGGTGCACATGGGCTCCAGGATCCTGTTTGAACGAAAGGTGTATGAACCTATTGTTAGTCACCGGTTACCATGGGACGGCATTTCCCAGGGCTGCTCTACTGCTTTGTGGATCAGAGCTCTTGGTCAAAGGTTCAGGTAGTGGCTCCCTAAGAAGAACACCTACTCTGGTTTGCGCACCCGAGTAGTGTTCCAACTCGAGCAGAAATCGAATAATTTGTGTGGCGCATATGTATTTGATGCCTCATTGTACCAATGTTTGTTTGAATAAACACGACGATGGAACACCATACTGATACACTTGTCAAAACAGAGAAAAGGTAGAAAAATTTTCGACCAGTTTGGGATTTCCTCCGGACGCTACTGGAATCACGTTCATTAGGGAATCTAATGTCTTCTGTGAGACTTGTAGGTATCATCAATACCTACGAAGTTCGAGAGTCGACGAGGTGCAGTTTTTTATATACTGTCGGCAAAATAGGATTCGAGATCGTCACGTACGTACTTATATTCATTATTGACAATATAAATAGACAACCAATCATTTTCAGGAAAAAACACGGTTAAAATATTCATTTACACAAAGCATAATCTATTACTACCTGCATAAAATAGTTGGGAAATCCAGACAACAAGAACGGCGTTAACAGTAAAAAATAATAAAATGTCTGTACATCTAAGATAAGTAATGAAAACGTGTACGTCATCGTAACCTCACTTAGTGGCTGTTTTATTAATATGATACATTGAATGAAATTCCTTAAGTTCAGTGATTATGTTTAAAAACTAGAAAGGAGAACGAACTTATTATTTAGAACTTTACGAACACTTCGAAAGGATCGTAATTCAGAGAGGTGAGCTAGGTAAGTTATCAAAACTTAAAGACAAATATCGAGATCTTAAAAATACTAATTCAACAGGACTAAGTGAATATCTGAAGTGTAATGGTTGGCAAACGCAAACCAAATATTGGTCCACGCTATTATTTTTTAAATAACATTTCACACTAGAGATGTGATTAACTTATTTCAAGTTTTATTACACTGTTTGGAGCAAAAATCAATACTTAAGTTATTAGAATCACTGAGTGAACCTGTCAGATTGATCGAAATGGGATTAATTCTTGCCACTTTAATATCATTAATATATAACGCTGAAGTGATTTTGAACAAATATTTGTGGTTTACAGATAACTAAATAACAAATCACTGACGAAACTGATCAGTTAATCTTCAACGAAACATGATTAAATCCCTAACTCCGAGTTGGTGTGATCAAAGCTCTACAAGTCAGTCACAACGTATAACCTGGTACGTATGTGCATCAGTTGAAGTAGTTATACTTCATTACCACAAAAAATTGAATTGTCAGGCCGAATGTCAGAATATTAGAGGTGGTAACAACATCAGTGCTAATAAAGAAATTAGGCGTCGAAGATGATATTTGAAAAGAAAATATAAGGTTATGGGAAATTTAGGATCTCAAAATTCGGAGAACGGATGCATCTGCGCCATTGTATACAATTTTGAACCATGTTATCCATACTTCCAAACCATTGGTTTCGATAACCACGCGGACCCCAAACAGTCAATAGTCTACACCTATTAACATAGCCAAGTTCAGTTGTTAGCGACTTCATGAACTGATTCCGTGTTTTGGTTTGGCCGCTTTCATAGCTTTCTTACAACCTTCCCTATACTGGAAAACATCGCCCTTTGAGGTAGGCAGTGGTCGGGCACATGCAATCACCTCAGTTTATGAAGAATCATCACCTCATCAATCGACTGGACAAACTAAATAAGTAAAGATTGACATCAAATCCATAATCCAGTAGTTTAAAAAGATCGAGTGCTTCAACAACTAATTCATTACTCGACAAAGAGGATTACATTTCGATGTCACTATTTCTAGTACATATGAACAGTGATCATCTTTTTAACTGGTCCACAAAGTCACATGTTACAAAAAACACGTTTATGATAAAATAATCATAAATCGTTATTGAACATAAATAAATCACAACTATTCACTTGCAAGAATGCCTTGGGATTTAAATCGGAAAAAAATCAAAACGCTCGGATTGCCAGTTTATAATTTCTCCAAAGTTTAGAACTTCATTTCTTCTCAAATCCAAATTACAAAAAGGCTGTTATACCTCGCATTCTATGAGGAAGATGTGTCAATTTGTTTTGCTGAGGTTTCGTTCTCTGAGACATGAAGTTTTCATTATTTTACTGAACAAATTCAGCATAAACTTCAGTTAGAAGTGAGGTATACGAATTTCTCCACATATGGTTGACAACTTGTTCTGTCAATTGGTCATTTTTTACTTTTACCCTGTCGTAGTGTCCATACTTTGATTTTTTCCACCTATTACCTGAATCCCAGTTTATATTTACTCATGGTTAGAAGCATCTGCGCATTAAATAGGTCCTG